CAGTGAATTTGTTGAGTACATGACTCTGGGGTCACTTAGGTTGGGCTGGATACTTGATTCTATTTCCTGTTCATCATGTCCCTTAAGGAACTTTCCTAAGTCTGGCATGCTGAACTTCTTTAAGAATCATTGTTGTCCAGCCTGAGTTTCTTGTGAGGATAACCAAGATACGCCAAGTTCAATAATGGGGCTGTTATAACATTCCAATTCCTACTACTACTGGGAGCACTCACAGGCTTGGGTTTCCTGGGAGCTTGAAAATATACCTGAGTTTTGTTCATAACATAATACCTGAAGAGAACCCACCCAGGGGACCCACGCTTCACCGACAGACTTAGAAGTCTTACCCTTCCTGAGGGGTGACTGGCAGGACACACTGATTTTCACCAAGGTGTTTTACACCCTCTGTAACTTTCCCCCTTCTGGTCAACAAACAACAGAGGACTACGGGCCACAGACTAATATCACTAAATAGGCTGTAACGAGTTGAATGTCCACACAAGCTCATCTCAAATTCTGCTTTCTAGAATACTAATCTACAGATTTTACTTACCATTACTAAGTGGTCTGTGGTAGGAGAGGGGAGGAGACCCCTTATGGTCAAATGTGTTCAGAAAACTACGTCTGACATCACCTTTTCTCGACTTTTAGTATGCACCGATAATCTGTGAATCTTGAAGAAGAAGCTGTGGTATGGAACATTCTCTCTCTGCATATCGGGGTCTTGGATCTACTTTTGAGGAGCGCCCTGCAGGATGCTACCGTAACACAAGCTTTGAGAAAAGCTCATCCATGTTCAAAGACATTGCAGTGTTGGTGTCTAGAGGCATGCTGTTGGTTCTGTCCTTGATCCCCTATGTTCAAAATCATTCATTTATTGTCATCCTGATCAGACATGAAAATGATGCTAGGCTGCATGGGGAACCCAAGAGGAGAGGCAGGACCATGGGTACTGTGGTCTAACTGTAGGAACAGCCCATGAGGACACAGAGCAAAGAGCAGGTCTTACATATGTCACATGAAAAGCAACACAAAGCACTCAGGATGGGAGAAAACGAGGAAAAAGGCAACATCTGGAAAAAGAATATTCAGGCCTGTAATCTCAGATGTGCAGGAGGCCAAGACAGGGCGAGCAAAAGTTCAAGGCCTGCCTGGGCTGCAAAGTTAGGCGAGCCTGGACAACCTAGTGAGATCCTGTGTCAGAAGGAACTGTGAACTAACGGCACAGCCTAGTTGTAGAGCCCTTCTTGAGAATGCAGAAGGCCCTGGGTTCCATCCCCCACATCACAAACGTAACTATTAAAAAAGGAAGAGAAAATGAAAGGGAATGCCATGCATGGCAGCTTGTGCCTGTGATCCTAGGATTCGAACTCTGGGTCCCAGGACAATCTGGGCTACAAAGTGATAACCTATCACAAACAAAACAAAACAAAACTAAACTAAACTAAACAAACGGACCTGAGGGCCTCTAGTGCCCACAAAAAGAGAAGAAAAAACTGTCCATTGTTATGGTACCTGAACCTTTGGATTATGGTTTGTTCAAAGCTGTTACTAGTCCCTTACCTCCAGCCCAGTAAACATATGTGAATAGTCCTCTAACGGCCACTTGCTAAAGGTTTGATCCCAGGGGATAACTACTGAAAGATGCTATGAACCTATGGGAAAAGGGATTCTGGGAGGTTCTTTTTTTTTTCAAGACAGGATTTTTCTGTGTAGCCCTGGCCATCCTGGAACACACTCTGTAGACCAGGCTGGCCTCGAACTCACAAAGATCCACCTGCCTCTGCCTCCAAAGTGCTGGAATTAAAGGTGTGCACCACCATGGCCTGGCTTCTGGGAGGTGCTGAGGTCA